TCTCTCTCTCTCGGCATTCTCTCTCTCTCTCTCTCTCTCCGCTCTCTCTCCTTCTCTCTCTCTCTCTCCCTCTTTCTTCATCTCTCTGCCTTCGTCTCCTAGTTCTCCCTCTCTCTCTCTCTCTCTCTCTCTCTCTCTCTCTCTCTCTCTCTTCTCTCTCATCTCTCTGCCTTTCTCTCTCTGTCTCTCTCTCGTCTCTCTCGCTTCGCTCCTCTCTTCTTCTCTCTCTCATCTCTTCTGCTCTCTCGTCTCTCGCCTCTCTCGCTCTCATCTCTCTCTCTCTCTCTCTCATCTTCTTGCTTTTCTCTCTCTGTCTTTCTCTCTCTCTCTCTCTCTCTGGCTTCTGTCTTCATTCTCTCTCTACTTCTCTACTTTCTCTCCCCTTCTCTCCCCCTTTTTCTATCTTATCTATATCTTATCGTATCTTATCTATCTACTATCTATCTTATCTATCTCTATCTATTTTCTTATCTATCTATTCTATCTATCATCTATCTGTATGCATTATCTATCGTATCTATCTATACTATCTCATCATATCTTATCTATCCTATTCTATCATATTCTATCCTACCTACTACCTATCTACCTATCTACCTATCTACCTATCTACCTATCTACCTATCTACCTATCTACCTATCTACCTATCTACCTATCTACCTATCTACCTATCTACTTATCTACCTATCTACCTATCTACCTATCTACCTATCTACTTATCTACTTATCTAAGTACTTATCTCTATATATATATCCCCCTCTCCCTCCCTTCCTCCCCCCTCTCTCTCTCTTTCTCCGTCTCTCTGTGTCTCTCTATTAGCAGTGCTGATGGACTCTCGCTATGTTTGTTCTGATTGGGGTTTATTGGTTTCCGCTGTGGCACGCTTCTATTCAGGCGCTAGTCACTAATGGCCTGAATTCACCTCTGTCCTGCTATAAGACAGAGCTGATCCTATACAATATATACTATACTGCCCTACCAACCCATTCTCACCCGACCAACCCACTACCACCTCACCCGCCCACTCCCACCCCCAAAAACCCATTCCCATCCCCTCACTCTCACCCACTCGCACCCCATCACCCACTCACACCCCACAAACCCACTTCCATCCCACCTACCCATTCACACTCGCAACACCCCCAACTTACATCCACCCCCACTTCCAGCTCTCTAACCCGCGCGCACATTACAATTGATGGACCTCGCAACAAAGTGCCTATATAGATCTACTGTGAGCATACTTGCAGTGTGCAAACATCACGAAATGTTCTCATTGAGCCAGAAATGTGCTCCGAAGTTGACTATTTTGAAAACTTGCGACAGACGCAAGTTATTTGAACGAAGCGCCAGATAACGCAAAATAGTATCCATACGCCATAGCGCAAATAGTTCCTGGAACGAAAACACTATATTTGTTTCCTGATTGCATATGTAATGTAGATAACATATGATTTAAACAAATTTCACAATTTTGGACTGAACGAACTTCGAATAATAATTTATAACTTGTTTTATCATAGAAAATAACTTCTGATTAAAATTGTCTGCTAAGCTGATCTAATTGAAATTGTCTGCTAAGCTGATCTAATTGAAATTGAAATTGAAATTGTCTGCTAAGCTGTCTGATTGAAATTGTTCTAAGCTTATGTCTGGATTGGCGAAATATGTAAACAAACATTAACGTTGTCTGTTACATTATAAACCCTATAACCTCGTAAATAATAATCTTCAAAGTCCAAGGGACTATATTAAAGGAGGAAAGAGGCGCGCACCGATTATCACCGGTACTTACGGAGACACACAGCCCTCCGCCCCACCCGCCGCCGCCGCCGCCGCCGCCGCCGCCGCGGGCAATCCGCAGCGCACGTGGCGCTGACCCCGCGGTCACGGTATAAGCGTCATCCCACTGACCGATCGACGGACGGCGGGCAACAACAATGCACGAGCATTGACGTGCCGCGCGCGCGCCACGCTTAACGAGGGGAGACGGACGAACACTGGCCATTAACTCATGCCCGCGATTGAGAGCGATGAGTAAGTGGGCGAGACAAGCACAGAGTGAGAGGGTAGAGAATGAGAGGCAGAAAGGTAGAGAGAGAGAGAGAAAGAGAGAGAGAGAGAGAGCAGCAGGGAGAGAAGAGAGAGCAGAGAGAGAGAAAGAGAGAGGAGAGAGAGAGAGAGAGGAGAGAGAGAGGAAGAGAGAGAGAGGAGAGAGAAAGAGCGATGAGGCACACGCGTATCGAGTTGGGAGACAAAAAAAAACAGAGAAATTGAGAGAGGTAAAGAGAGGGAGAGATAAAGAAAGGTAGGGAGAGGTAGAGAGTGAAGGAAGAGAAGCACGCGCTTTAGTAGAGCATGACAACAAACAGAGAAGAGAGAGCCGAGAGAGAGGAGACGAGAGAGAGAGAGGAGAGGCGAGAGGAAGAGAGCGCCCGCGAGCGAGAGAGAAAGAGAGAGAGAGAAGAGAGAGATGAGAAAATAGAGAGAGAGAGAAGCAATAGGAAGAGGGCGATGAGAGAGAAGTAAGAGAGGTGCCTTTCCATTACATGCATTTTCAACGAACACCCCCAGTGAAAATGCCCTGGACCTCACTAACCCAATACATGAAGACCCGTGTGGCATTCATGCTGAGAGAGCGAGTGGCCATTGCAATTACAATATAGACGTGCATATGAGAGAAGCGTATATATATATATATATATATATATATATATGCAAGCAGATGCTCCGACGCGGCCTGTGCATAGCAATGAAAGCGTGTGATTTCCAACCTGTGTTATCGCAATACCAATATAATATCGTGTATTATATTGCTATTACTTCATGAAAGGTCAAATGATTAGGCAAATGTGTGTGGAATGAAAATGTAAGCGATGCAGTAGTA